GCTGGTCATCTCTTTCCATCTGCTGTTTGCCCTAAGGGTTTTGGGGAATCTGTTTTTGAGGGCTAATGTCCTAAGTGTTCTGATGTAACTTGAAAATATCTTAAGGATGTGCTGTTCATTTTCCACAAACGTCTGGTAGACACACACTGAAAATATCTGCATACCTCCTGTCTTGCTCCTGCTGTGCAGATTTGTGTTCAAGGCCTGTGGTCCAGTGCCCTGCTGATTACACAAGCTGCTGCTTTGCTCAGTGGTTTACCACTAGATGCATTAAATAAACACGCTTTATGTGATATTTGTTCTTGGGTTGTAATGATTTTGCCTGCTTCCAGGATTCAAACAAGTAATACAACAGAAGTGGTCCGTAGAAAACCACTTGCTGCCGGTAAACTTCTGTAGGGGCGTCCTTGCTTGTGTCCTCAGCTATTGAGGTTGGAGGAGAGAGATTGTGTATAGCCCTTGAGCATCTTCCCTGAAAGCTAGACCTTGAAGTGGCAAAAATAAGTTCCAGCTCTGATCAGACCTCTTTAGTATGTAGTGGCTGAGGGGCTTTTAATCTCGGGGTTACAAGATCCTTAAAGACCTTTCCTCCAGCAAAGAGACTGCCTCTGGGTGCTATGCCATGGTGTTTGGAAGTATGGGGTTTTCAGAACTCTTAAACTTCAAGTTCTTCGTCTGGCTCCTGGTGCAGTCATTATTTCCCCTTCGTAGAAGACCGCTGCCACTGGGGGAGGTAACTTCTTGTTCCCTCTTGGTCATGGCCTGCTCACTTAGCCGGCTCAGAAACCCTTGGCTGCCCTCCCTCACGGTGCTTCAGTGTCAGTAACCCCTTCCCGTGACTTTTGTCTTCTCTGACAGTAGCTATTGATGGAAGAACACGGGGTGACCCAAACAGAGCACATGGCCACCATCGAGGCCCACGCAGTGGCCCAGCAGGTGCAGCAGGTCCACGTGGCCACCTACACAGAGCACAGCATGCTGAGCGCGGACGAAGACTCGCCCTCTTCGCCGGAGGACACGTCCTACGATGACTCTGACATCCTCAACTCCACGGCTGCTGACGAGGTCACCGCCCACCTGGCTGCGGCAGGTAAAGGCGCCGGGATGCTCGTGGCGTTCGTGCAGAGGTTGCAAACGGCGCTTGAGGGTGGCGGGTGATCTCATCGCCCCGTGGGATGCTCCGAATGCTTCCTTATCGCCCTGGCTTTAGTAGCGCTTCTTTGCAAGGTCTGCTGGCTGCATCACTTTATCCGTGTCTAATATAGAGGAACTGGGAGTAAGAGACTGGTTTGTACCATAGAAAAGGTCCCTGGTAAACGCTGCCTTAAAAGAACAAAACTAAAATACCGAATATGTCAAAGAAAGAGCTTATTTCGGGCCTGTATAAACAACAGCGAAAATAACCCGGGACTGCTACGCACCCCTGCTTAGCCAGGGAGCTCACATGTTAGGCCTCTCCCAAGGAGACACCACAAAGGATACTGGCATATCTGCACTGGGAAGGACTTTCAGAATCGCAAACTCCTTCCAGTGAAGCCCCTGCCAAGTGCCCTCGAGATTTGCCTTGGGGTGGATCTACCTCACTGGCAGAAAAATGCAGCGATAAATAAGCAGTCACAGACCTGTCGAACTCCTTACCGGACTTTGGATGTGCTTGACCAAACCTGTGAAGTTCCACCACCTCACCGAGCATCCCATGCCCTTTCCTTATTCATTTTCCAACCTTAGCTCCTGCAGGATTTTATTTTTTTTTTTTTCCTCCTTCCCATCTAGCACACAAGCTTTTGGGTCGTGGTTGCAGGAGGGGCTCAGGTCGCTCTCGCCTGCCTGCGAGCCCTCCCGCTGCAGGGGCTGCCCGGCATCCCTCCAGCCCCTGGCCAGGTGGGCACACTGAGCCAGGAGCTGCCCTGCTTCCCCAGGGCACGAGGCTGCCACTCGTGGCGTGGGTTGACACATCCAGCCCAAAGCTTGCCCCAGAGCCCAGCGTAGCCCTTCCTTGCTCCTCCAGAGCCAACGTTTTTCCCACCCCCCAAAAGTCAACGTTTTTGTTCTTTTTTTTTTCCACAAGCACAGGAACGTTGGAGCAGTACGCAGCAGTGCTTGCCGTGCCCGCCGTGGGTAGCACTCGGGTAGTTTGTTAGTGATTCACAAAAGCTGGCTCTGCAGTGTCACCCCGAGCTCTGTCCCTTACAGCATCCCGTCTCCCGGCGCAGCTGCCTAGAGAAAACGTTTCGTTGGACGCTACTTTCATTGTTGTCTACCAGCTTCCACCAGTTGGTAGCTTAGGACTTCCTGATCTAGTAGCTGCATCTTTGTTAAACGCAAAAATATAGGGGGTTTTGTGACCCCTGATGTGATCTTTTACCTCTGACATAAGGGAGGAACTACACGCAGAGCGACTGAGGTCTGCTCAGGAGTCGAAGGCAAGTCCTTGAGCCTGCGTTAGACCCCAGGGCTCTTCGGCTCTGACCCTGCACTCGTTGCTGGAGGTAGGAGCACAGTCCATGGCATGTGACTTGCTTTACTTCCAGTTGACTTAATGAAGTTTCCCCTTGCGTAGGCTCTGTATCGAGGGTTTGATCACGAAAGCAGTAGCGCTGCCCTGCCGTGGTCCCTGCTGTCCCTCAGGGGACTGTTGTAGGATGCTGGATTTACTATTTCTTTCCCATCAGAGCAGGTCATTAATCTCTGGGGAAAGCTTTGGGAATCCTGATGCCATACTTGAGGTGTCTGAGCAGGTTTCATGGCGTTTGTACCCTGTCTCTTCTCCCCTGCCACCGGGATCTCCTCAGCTGCAGTCAGTTGTTTGAAATCTTGGTGTACTTGAGACTTTTTCAGTATGTTTGGAAGACGAAACTCATCATTGGATGATTGTAAGGAAAAATCTGGACTGAAATATGTGGCTTTCACCTGGGACTGAGCTGGGACTTGCCAGACTGGGGAATGGAGCCTTTTGATACGCCCCCTCCGATGCCGGAGAGGAGGGATGCTGGCTGCTGGGGAGCTGAGCGGGGAATTCGGGTCACCCTGATCCGGTGGGGAGGCCCTTGAGCTGAACCCCAAGGACCCGCCCCTGGGATGGAGGGCAACGGCCACGTCCG